ACAGTTAATAACCATGGTGATCTGACTTTCACTGTGTAGCTACAGTTAATAACCATGGTGATCTGACTTTCACTGTGTAGCTACAGTTAATAACCATGATGATCTGACTTTCACTGTAGCTACAGTTAATAACCATGGTGATTTGACTTTCACTGTGTAGCTACAGTTAATAACCATGGTGATCTGACTTTCACTGTGAAGCAACAGTTAATAAACATGGTGATTTGGCTTACACTGTGTACGTTGATCTGACTTTCTCTGTGTAGCTAGGATTAGTTACCATGGTGATCTGACTTTCACTGTGTAGCTAAAGTTAATAACCATGGTGATTTGACTTTCACTGTGTAGCTACAGTTAATAACCATGGTGATCTGACTTTCACTGTGAAGCAACAGTTAATAACCATGGGGATTTGGCTTACACTGTGTACGATGATCTGACTTTCTCTGTGTAGCTAGGATTAGTTACCATGGTGATCTGACTTTCCCTGTGAAGCTAGAATTAGCTAGGGCCCCGTATCGGAGATACGGGTGCCCTATAGTAATCACTCTGTCTGTCTGTCTACAAATTTTGTTCCTGGCTGATAACTTTGGTATTTATTGACCGATGTACATGAAACTTGGTCAAGATGTTCAGTTCACAAAAATACACATTGAGGTAAAAAGTCCAGGTCAAAGGTCAAGGTCATTAGGTTCAAAGATCAAGGTCAAATTTTGCATCTTTTCACTGGTGAACATTTTGTTATGACATGATGAAGTAAAGTTGATCAGAATTAAACAAGGAGTCAACCTGACAAAATGTCAAGGTCATTGGGTCAAAGGTCAGGGTTAAATTTTGTATCTTTTCACTGGTGAACATTTTGGTTTGACACTTTGAAGCAATGTTGCTCAGAATTAAACAAAGAATCAACTGACCAAAGGTCAAGGTCATCGGGTCAGGGGTTAAGGTCAAATTTTGTAGCTTTTCACAAATGAGGATTTTATGACATGAAGCAAAGTTGTTCGGAATTAAACAAAGAGACACACTGAGGTATAAAGTTGAGGTCAAAGGTTAAGGTCATTAGATTCAAAGGTCAAGGTTAAATTTTGCATCTTTTCACTGATGAACATTTTGTTATGACATGATGAAGTTAAGTTGATCAGATTTAAACAAGGAGTCAACCTGACCAAATGTCAAGGTCATTGGGTTAAAGGTCAAGTTTAAATTTTGTATCTTTTCACTGGTGAACATTTTGGTATGACACTTCTTTGAAGCAATGTTGCTCAGAATTAAACAAGGAGTCAATTGACCAAAGGTCAAGGTCACTGGGTCAAAGGTCAAGGTCAAATTTTGTATCTTTTTCACTGATGAACATTTTGTTATGACATTATGAGGCAAAGTTGGTGCAAATTTAAAAAGGAGTCAACTGACTTAAGGTCAAGGTCACGTGGTCAATGTCAAGGTCAATTATTGTATCTTTTTTATGTTAATATGTAGCACACTTGTTCAGAACTTAACACAGAGTCAACTGACCTTAGGTCCAGGTTACGGGGTCNTGATCAGATTTAAACAAGGAGTCAACCTGACCAAATGTCAAGGTCATTGGGTTAAAGGTCAAGTTTAAATTTTGTATCTTTTCACTGGTGAACATTTTGGTATGACACTTCTTTGAAGCAATGTTGCTCAGAATTAAACAAGGAGTCAATTGACCAAAGGTCAAGGTCACTGGGTCAAAGGTCAAGGTCAAATTTTGTATCTTTTTCACTGATGAACATTTTGTTATGACATTATGAGGCAAAGTTGGTGCAAATTTAAAAAGGAGTCAACTGACTTAAGGTCAAGGTCACGTGGTCAATGTCAAGGTCAATTATTGTATCTTTTTTATGTTAATATGTAGCACACTTGTTCAGAACTTAACACAGAGTCAACTGACCTTAGGTCCAGGTTACGGGGTCAAGGTCAAGTTTTGTATTTTTCACTGATGAACATTTTGTTATGATATTATGAAGCAAAGTTGGTCGGAATTAAAGATCAGGGTCACTGGGTTAATGGTCAAGGTCATTTGGGTCCAAAGGTCAAAGACAAAGTGGATCTCTGACTTTGACCCTGGCTCTTGATGGAGGAGATATATAAGGTGAAATAAAACAAATCAAAGCTAACAAATGAGTATTGCACCGGTATTTACATTTCTGTTAGCCCAGCAAATATGGAGGTGGAAGGAAACAAGACTCACATCATAGTACATGTAAAATGTATATTT